ATGGATGTATTTTATTGATGTACCTATACTTTGTAACACTTAGTGTATTACTATTGTACTATATATCCCTGTAGGCTGTAGATATGGATAATTAAATTTCATTTTTAATAAATAAATATAAATTCAATTCATCTGTTACTAAATATAATTGTAATGTAATTAGTGTTAATGTGTAATTAAGTGTCACTGATAATTGACCTATAGGTACATTTAATTACATTCAGCTCTCATTATACCTATATAGTACATTGATAAACATTGTAGTTTAATTCATTTTAATGTTTTCATTGGTTTTGTGATATTAAGTTGTAGATAAATATTTTTGTAATTATAAAAGGTAGGTACCAAAGATTAATTTCAAATATTATTTAGAAATAATATTACATTGAAGCAGCGACTTGTACATTATTATACAAAAAGAAAAATACAAAGATTGGTTCATTTTATATTTATAAGTAGGTAAATTAAAAACATTTGAATGCTGCCTCCCCAAAAAAGTATTGTCGACTACAACTGTACAATTGGATAGGGTGTGAATAATAAAGAAGGATAAATATAAATTCTCCTTCTTTGTAATAATATATCGGTGGCAACTTTACAGAGGCGTGCGCGAAAACTATTACTGCAGTAAATTATAAAACTTGGTAAAACTACAACGAGTTACGTGTCCATTACTGTCAATTTTACCATATTTTTACCAGGATTGTAGTAGGTAATTGGATTTCACGAACAAAACAATGTATCTGCAATCATAAACTGCACCTACCTCAGGACATTTTTATGGTGAGGGAAATTCAATTTCGATGTTCTTATTCCTTATCAGATATCAAAAAGAAGAAAACTGACTATCAACAAATTGTTATCATATCATATGTAATAATCAGATTTTTGTTATAAAATAATCTAGGTATTAGTAGGTACCTTCCTATAAAGTTAATTTTTTAACATGTACTCTGATTGAAATCGTACAACATGAACTTCTATTATTTGATAAAAAATATGTACATTAAATAATGCGAATTACAATTAAAAAAAAAACCATTGTATTTTTATTATTATTTGCATTATATGTTGTATATACAGAACTTGGAACTGATTAGTAAACTAAATGGTGATTCGTAAATCGGTTTTTGTCCAAATTAAATGTGGCCGCCCGGGTCTGTAGAGCTGTACAGCTTTCTGAAGTTTGTAATAATGTTAGTAAAATATCTTCCGCGATACCATAGTAAAATTGCTGTAACATCGAGCAGCTGCTATATGTAATAATATAACACCCGACTGTCCCGACTGTTTTTCGCAGAAGATGGAAATAATAAATTGGGAAATAATGAATTATGTCCTATAAATAGATTTGAACAAGAAAAAAATTCAATCATCATATTATAACATTATTGTTTTATTCATTACACTCCGATAATCTGATACCTGTTGACATACTGTTTTTGGTTTTTTTTTTGTAAGCAGAGGTTTTGATACATAAACACCAAAAAAATTAGTGGGTGCCGATTTTAAAATCGTGTGTGCTACACCCCCTAAGACTGTCCTAATTGAGCCTATATTACTATAAATAACACGTTTGTATGTAGTTAACTCACTTGTTTCGCATCTACTTATTAACTTCTTTAAATATATTTACTCCTGCGCTGCCTGTAAACCGTGACTACAACGACCAGTGAGCGGCAGTGACAACGTACATTCCCACCCACACACACAGAACATTGAATTTCTCGGGCAAACCGAAAATGACCGGTCATGACCATTTTTCGAAGACTGACCGGTGGAAAATATCGCGAGCATCTAGTGTATGGACTACAGCGAATAGATTAACCACTAAATGGGAAAACTGTTGAGCACTTTCAATACAAAATTAAACTAAAATTTGGGCAACCAGAGTTGCCTTTCTGATTTACTTATAATTCACTGATCTGTCACACATTTATTCTGTGTATGAACCATAGACCTTAGGGTGGATTCTCACCTCGTCGCGTCGTGTAGAGTTGAATATATTATTCAACTCGTAGGTAACGTGTTTCGTGTGACCAATGTTTTGTTACCTATGTTATTAAATAATAAATAAACGGATCACTACACGGCAAGACGAGGTGTGAATCCACCTTTATTCTAACTTGTACTGCTTAGTGTGGGGTATGTGGTATGAACCGTGATTGGGCATTTGAGCTAACCATATTGGCGTGCGATATGCTGTAGGCAGCAACCACGGTATTACCAGCGGTATATAATATACTCTGCTGAAGTGCCGTTGTCTGTGTATTGAACTATTAAAAATAACTCATACTGTAATAAAATGATAACACTTCAAAAAAACACATATTTTATATTTTTTTTACTCGTTTTGTTATTTCGATTTACAAATTGAATACATATTTTAGTTTGCATATTATCTATACCATATTTTGACATTTATACTTTCAGAATTTTATTTTTATTTGAGTTTACTCAGCTGCAGTATATATAATTCAATATAATATATTACTCATTTTTAGGTGATTTATGACTCAACGCGCAGTATGCCAATATCTTCCATATAGCAACACAGTATTATTAATACATAATTGCAAACGTTGTACGTATTTTGACTATAATAGAAAATCAAATTAAAATTTGAAGATAAACCGTTTTTACCTTACATTTTTAATCAAACTCGACATAAATAATATTGTACAACATTCAACAATATTACTACAACTTCTTTGAAAGAACATATTTTTTTTACAATTGAAATTTGAAACGACGACGAGCTGTGGAGATATCACGTGCGTCACTGCAGGAGTATATTTATGGGATATGCTCATGCATGAGGGAAGCATTTTATTTTTCTATTCGGCATAACGAAGACCAAAAATCGCAGTATAATAATCAGGTAAGTATTAACTCATATTTATAAATTCGGCTTGTACTGGTGTGGTTAAAGCCGAGAGGTCCCAACGTTTTTAAATATATTAAATATATCTGCAGGAGTGCAGGACAGTCGTCTACCTGTAATATATTTATCATTTTAATACATATTATATATTATTAAAGCCTTGTTGGGATAACTGAAGAATGACAATTTTTAAACAATCGCGTTCGCATTCAAATCTAATATAAAAGTTAAAACTCATCTCCGCCCACTGCCAAGTAAAATAGAAAATTTAACGTTCACCCAGGTCTCTAGTTTTATTTTCTCATTTTGCTTGCTAAATTCATTTTTCGGAAAACAAAACATTTTCGCAAAATTTGAATTAGGTATAACAATGTACCATACATTATACACTATCACAGAGCTAATAGTGATAAATACCTTAACAAAAAGGATCATGACAAATTTTAAAATATTTTTTGGTTTTAGATCATATTATATAAAGGTATAATGTATGTATTATATTTTATTATTTTAATAATTAATAATTTTATTTATCTTCTCTCATCTGGATATATGATTTGCCTAACACATCACGCATAGTTTATTGTTTTAAACCACAAATATAAAACAAAATATTTCATAACAGTTTGTGGTGGATTGGGAAACATTATACAATTGTCACTTTCATATACCTACATACACAATATAATTATAATAAAAAAATATATATTACGACTAAAATGTAAGGTACGGTAAATAGGAAGTATAAACTTAAAAGTCAAACCTAAGTATTTTACAACGTATTTTATCTATGCGATTTAAACATAGTAGAATGGTGATATTTGTAATAATATTGTAAAATAATGTAAAAACATTTTTCCAAGTTAAAGAACGACTTTTATAAGTTTAAAAATAATCCTTATTTGATATAGGATAATATTATAATAACAATAATAATATACATTGTTATTTCCTATATTATTATATTCATTATCCGGAACGTAGACTCGTATGTATTACTCAAAGATATACAAATCTTAAGCCGCAAAAAAAACCATATACACTAAAATAATCTACTCATGTTGATTTTTAAGCTTTTTTAATATTGTTGAAATATATACATTTACAAAATTAATTGTTACAGATATAAATTTATAATAATAGTCTTAAATATATGTAGGAATTGAACAAATGACACACGACGAGTATATGTTTTCTACTAGTCCGTTTTTGTAGATTTTATATTATACATATTTAATTACTAGTACTACATACGTATTTTAATTAATAAATATAAAATTATTACAATTTTTTAAGCATAATTTTCACTTATATAAAACGTTGACGAGTGTATAATGTACACACACGACATCATAATGATGATCTACACAGTAAAAAAGTATAAAAAGTAAGATTGTTGTTAACAAAACAAAGTAAAATTACAATATATAATACTTTTAATGTGATTGAAAAATGCTAAATTTTTATAAAACAAAAACGCATCGGAAACAATCACTTAAACGAAACGTTTTTCAAGCGTTACCTACCGATATATCTAACTATCATAAAATACATAACTCGTGTGTAGTCATTGAAATACTAATGAAATACAAATAATAATAATAAAAGCCATTTGAACGTATAGCATTTTTTTTTTTTTACAAAATAATGATATAATTAATATTATTAATAATAATAAAACAATATATACCTATATAATAATATAATGTTATTTACTTGGTGATTAAAAATATGTAGAGTACTAAAACACTATATTAGTACAGTAAAACAGTCTGAGCTATAATAAAAAATATAAATATAATATAGTTGTATTTTATGATGTATAATATATATTGTAATGGTGTTATCGTTATTTTTTCATTTTTACATTTTATTTCGAAGATTATAATATTATAGTTGTGTGGGATATCGTTTAATATGCGAGTGTGTATTGAATAATAGTGTTAGTGTAATGACTAATGATATACTATAATATGGACGTCGACGGTTACAGTAAGACCATTCAGTCGTCGTACTAAGAATAATAATAGTATGTAAGGATATTATATCGAGTATTTTTTTGTTAGAGATTTTCAAGTAATAGTATATAGGCATATCATGTAGTATATAATATATGTATAAAGTATAATTGTAATGGAGAAAAAATAGTAACTAATAATAATGATGAAAAAATAAAAATAGTAAAGTTCCCAAGCACGACATATTTAAAAACCATGAGCGTGTCGTCGTCCGGACGGTCAACACTGGGAATTAAGATAATAAAATTTAAAAAAAGAAATCCAAATAATAAAATGTAAAGCAAAAAAAAAAAAAAAAAACCGAGTTCGTAAGACCGTCGAGCTTCCGATTCGATCCCCATACCGAGATCGCATCGGAAGCACGAGTCGGACCCCTCCCCCCTCCCGGCACTGTTGTTCGTCCATCATCCTTCACCACCAAAGCGTCAAGTCACTGCAACCCGTCAGCGGCAGAGTCGTGCGACGCTATGACCGAGGTCGGATACCAGTGCAAGTGCACTTGCGGCGGCATCGGCACGGACTGATGCTGCCCGCCGTTGACGGTTTCCTCGTACGTGGGCGGGTGCGGCGGCATCGCGCAAGAGTTTCCGTTGTACACGTTGGGCCCGTACGACGAGAAGTGGTGCATCGTGGCCGACGGTCCCGGACGCTGGTGTTCGGCCAGCTGATGGCGGTGGTGGTGGACCTGTTCGTTGGGCGGCGACGGTGTCGAGTACGTGCTCGACGGACTGTACTTCATCGCCATGTTTGCGGTCGGCGGCGAGCAGCCGTTGTCCGCGTAGTGACCGGCTCCGTAGCCACCGCAGCCCGCCACGGTTGCCGGCACCACCGGCGGGGGTGGCGGACCGCTGATAGCAGCCAAGGCCGCCGGCGTCATGGCCGTCACGGCACCGCTGGTAGATTCCACTTGGCCTGTGGGGACGAGAGAACGATAATATTATAATATTATTAAATCACACTGAATGGTCTGTGGGTGTAGAGTGCGCAGGTCGGCGAGTTATGTTGAACGACGTTATTGGCGTGTCGGCGACCAAGTCATCCGAGTCGGTGGGTACGACAAAAGTATACTACGAATCGTATATTATTATTAAATATCCGACTGGATTATTAGAATTAGACTCGCCAGACGTCTCGGTGTCCCAGTTGTTAGAAAGGTTAGGAGAAAATAACTTTGAATTATTGTATTATGTTATTTATTAAAAACGGAATAATAAATTGTGCAATGTAAAATTACGATTGATAACAGAAACAAAAATAATTTAAATCATAAAGCCGCCTACTATAAGACTTTTTACAATGCCTGTGCATTATTATTTATTATTATTGAAAGTAAAATAATTACATATTTTATCTATTCTGCACAACTAATTATTATGTTTTATCGTTTTCTATCTCCCTTAATAGATAAAATAAGTACATAACAATTTATGTTAAAAAACACTTAACATTAACAATAATAACACTAATTTTAATGTACCAATCATGGCTTATCATTAAAACTAATTTAACAGCTATTCCTTTACGCAATGGGTACACCAGGCCGGTTCAGATTTATTTGAAAAAAAAAGAGTTAGACCCGCCCTCATTTATAGGGGGTTTTCACAAAACTTTAGACTGGTTATTTAAAAGACGCTTGACCCGGAGACATAAATTGTACATTTAATTATCTGAGAAACGATTGGAAAACAGAATAAATGAATAATATTATTTCATAGGCGAGTTTGATAATAATATATTTTATATTATCCACGTTGGTTATACGGGAAGGTGGCACGTGCAATACGATATAATATGATATATGATATATATATTATATTATGTATATACCGTGGTTATAATTAGAGGTACTAGTGACGATAGCCGTCACGCGGGCGGATCTTCTCGGAATTCTATCGCACATTTAGCTCGCGACCAGACGTCTTATTAGTTATTTCTATACCCGTGGAAGTGTAGAAAACACGTCAACAACCCAATCCGAGCAGCTATTATTATTAGTAATAATAATTTATTACTAAAGCAGAATAAATGTGAATATTGACAGGTTTGTTTTGACATAACTTATTATTTGAAAACATGGCGTGGAGGGGAAACGCTTTCAGTTTTCGCTCCTAAAAAGTGTAAACGGTCAACCGAAAAGTTTGGGCCATGAGCAAGAACGACTACGCGCGTGCTTTATAATCTCGAAAATGAACAACGAATCTCGCCAATTTAGTATCCCCCCCCCCCAACAGGTGTTTATACAACAAAATACCAACCGGAATCCCTCTTGGATTTCTTCTCCTTCATGCGCCTGTTTTGAAACCAAATCTTGATCTGTCTTTCCGTGAGCCGCAGCGTCCGAGCCAGATCGATGCGTCTGGCCCTGTTCAAGTACTGATTGGCCGTGAACGACTCCTCGAGGTGCATCAGTTGCTCGCTCGAGTAAGCGGTCCGCTGGCGCTTCTGCTTCTCCCGCTTGCGCTGCACGCTTACCACGGCGGTCTGCATCTCATCGCTGGCGTGCAACATCGGACCGTGTTGTTGCGGCATGTGCTGCTGCGGGTGCAGAAGTGGCAACAGTGGAGTCGAGTTTCGTATGTCTGCCGAAATAGATGAATATTAATATTATATGCAATAACATTTGTTGTCAATAATATTGTTACAATACGGTTAAGTTAGAACTCGGAATATTATCATATTATATTTTTACGCCGCTAAGATGACTGTGGATAAACAAAAATATGTAGAATGTTTTAGAAATATTTTTTATTATTATTATTTTCACGACAACCTAAAATGTAAAATATTAACTCAAATACGTAACGAGAAAACATTACTTTAAAATAAAAACAAATCATCCTCTACGCGCCATGAGTAATTTTCAAATGTTCATTCAGAACGTAAAATTATAGATTACTTATTATGCAAAAACAATTAACGGGCAACCAAAAAAACGTGAGAAAGGATCAGATCTAACATAATATTGCTCATGCTTTTACCAAAATATTTTTTTTATAATTTGTATAAGCATGTAGACATGATAGAAGGGACCATCCAGCAACGGCACTCCAGAGGTGGGATTTTTACCAAAATATATTTTTCGGAGTGTCCCTTTCGTGTCTTCCTTCACACAGTGTGATAGTGTAATAAATTAATAATAATATAATAATATTTGTTGTGCACTTATGTGCACGAGTGTAGTGGGGGACGCAAATATTTCGAAATCAAAATATTGGTCGGCGCCGGACAGAAACAATTATTGTGAGCATTTAATATTTTAAAGTAACACTCGTTTTTTACACTATTGGATATTAAAATAATAACTAAAATCCAATAGTATTCCCAAGTCCGAGTGTACATGCATAATAGAAACGAAAACTGCGGGCCTCGTGTATACGGATGAATTCGAGCCGCCCAACTTGTTGACAACGATATTGTTGTATATAGGTATTGTACAATAATTATAGGTGCACCGCTCATTATTATTTTTGATATATAAATATACAAGTCGATTCAATGCCATTCTGAGGTATTTATATACATGTTATTTCGGTCCCGTATTTAGGATTCGATTTGCGCGTAGGTAAATGCCGGTCATTGACCGCGAATCGTACGTAAACACGTGTATTTGTAGGTTTAAAAAAAAAATCATATTTTATGTTATTATTATAACTACCTCATAAGACGTGTTCGATAGTATTCAACGAAATGATAGAAATACTACAATTATTTCTCGTAAACACGTATAGGTTACCGAAATGAAACTAAAATAAAACCGCCGTGGCGTGGGTTTGAGATGTCGGCAATAGGCTCGGTACGATATTTATGTTTGGTGAAATTGGTCGATAACGGCCGTCATTGTTATAATGTTTTAAAATGTAAACCACGACAATGGCTACAACAATATTGTATGTACCTATGTTGTACGTGCGACAAAACAAAAAGGACTTAATCGTACGCCATTATGACCGGAAACAGAACCGTAACGGCCTTTGAACGATTTGCATTCCTTGCTTGTGGCACGCGAACGCGGATGGTGTATAAGACATAAACAAACCGGACTTCCGAAAAGGCCGAGCGCGCTTACTATAAAATAATATGTGAGCGACATGTCGCGATGATAACCTGGGCGACAACCACGACAAAAGGTAGGAGGGACTTGAGCCCGTCGGCTTAGGGGTTTCGCGTTCGCCCGTACCGGAAAAAATGTATTACAGGTCGTAGGTAGGTCATGCGTTGCACGACAAAACTTACCGTCGTACGGCGGCAGCGAGGCGAACGTTTGCGTGTAGCCGTTGTACGGGTCGTACGCGGCGGCGCTGCTGCAGTAGTTGTTGTAACTCGCGATCATCATGGTGTCGTATCCGTTGACGGCCGACGAGGATAATTGGGTCGCGTGCATGTCCACGCCGTCTAGGCGGTCGTCGCGGTCGTGTAGGTGGCGGACGTCGCCGGCGCCGGGCTGAACGTGCTGCAGGCGGCGGTGCTGATGGCGGTAGTCGGCGACCGGCGGAAAGCTTGACGGAGTACTGCGGCTGCTGCTGTTGTTGCTCGACACGATCACGGTGACGGACGACGCGGCGGCGGCGACGGCGGCGGAGGTGGACTCCAAGTCTGGATAAGCACACGAAATCCCGTTTAAATTTAGCGCAATATTTATCTCGACAATTCACGTGCGCGCGTTATATTATTATCAGCATTATTCGTTATCATCGTCATTATTGCCGATATAAAATATAATCGTACGCGAATTTATTACTATGACCCTATGGGCATGACGACGATAGAGATTATGTTGTTATTATTACTGTTGTTACTTATTAATATTTGAATCGCGATGCCAATCACGCATGTCCAGAGAGGGAGGGGGCACTTACGATTTCGTCGGGTAGGAGGTGGTACGCGAGCGAGTCGATAAACATACCTAGTACTAGTACCTACCCTGGCCATCCCCCCCGCCTCCCATCGGACCCTAACCGAACAAGGAGGAGCGTTTTAAGGGGGCTAGGCGGGCACTTTGTTAAAGGGTCATATTTTTGAATTTCTAATTTTTAATAATAATATTCTATGAAAATGTACCTTTATTAAAACCGAACTTATTTTCGAATCATTAGAAATAGGCTTTTCTACTCTCCAAGTGTTGAGTATTTTTTATTTATTACTATTAGGTACTTTTTGAAATTCCGTTTATAAGTAATTGTATAATTTTTTTAATGAATTTGTTTTGACATTTAAATCATGCAACTCGTATCAAATTAATACAATCGTTGTCATCCAAAAATTGACTGTTGACTATTTACAAAGAGAGGCAAAAAAATAGGCTCGAAAATAGCACTTGAGAAAGTTCTGGTCGTACGCGCCTATGTTCGTAATATTATCTATTTACCACCCCAACAAGTACGAATTATGTTCACGGAGGTTTTTACGCGAGTCAATGTCATCGGAAAAAAAACAGTTACAAAGTATGAACATTATGAAACAGCAATAATAACAACAACAGAGACGGAGTTCTACCTTTGCCCCTAGGTAACTGTTTTTCTATCTATGAGTATTTATTTTTTAGATCGACATTTTTTTTTACCAACATTAAGTAAAAAAAACAAATACTAATAATTATTATTGTTTAGGTTCCTACTACATAAACCGTTCTATAACAGCGAAAATAAGTTACAAATACGATAGGTATATAGTGAATGATAACAAAGATGTTGGTGAAAAAATTTAAGAAAACCGCCAATACATGCAATATTTAAAAATATAATTTGAATAAAAAATGTCCACCCTTTCTATTTTTCTAATGCTTAATCTGTAAACGTAAATATGAAATTATTATTATTTAAATTAAATATTTTATAATTAAATAACAATTTATTGTTTAATTATCGAGCACGTCGATTATAAGACCAGCTACATTAGCTATTTAAAATACGTCACCCAGCTACTGCGTGGGTGCTTTATTTTTTTTTTGTAAGAGAAATAATCCAAAATTGTTTATTACGTTTATTGATATTGTACGAATAATACATTTCGATATGCTTACCTTGGTGTTGACCGCGGTCCAAGTCCAACAGCGTACCAAAATTCATTTCCATGACTGTAAGTATATTATTGCAGCTGATAGTGTTGTCGTTGTGACAAGAATAATCGAAGTCTGATGTCGTGGGCTCGGAGGTCCGGCTGGGGTGACGGTGTCTTACTGTCCTAGCGTCTTAACGTCGCCGGTATGTCCTGTAGACTGATCGAGTGACGATGTCGCGATGTCCACGCGCTACTCGAAGACCGCGGCGGCGATGCGGCACCGGACAGCGCGTTTGTTTTGCGGGTGGGGGGGGAGGACTACCGCCGCCGACCGTTTCTATTGGCCGTTCACCGATCGCGAATATAGGTAGTGCACGTCCGTCCCGTTTCGTAGTATGTATATACCTACCTGTATATTATTCGCACGATATATTAATCATAACTCAAATCCCGTGGTAGTTGTGGTGGGGACTTATTGATACCAAAAGACTTACCATGTAAAATCGCGTTTGCCCTTTAAGGCCCACACACTCTGTAGCCGTGGCGGTACAATTCTTTTGTCTTGGCGGTAAATTGTGTCCGGACTCATTTTAACGCTACCGCCACCGCCACCGCTACCACTGCATTGTGTGTGGACTTTTACACCACTTTTAGTGATGATTATTATAATCCTTATAATATGTTGGATGCACATTGATGTAGGTCCTGTACGCTGTTTGACGATTTATTTAGTCCACATCAGTATTTTGTTGTTGTTGTTTAGTAAATATTTTAATTGTCAACTAAAGCGTTTTAGTTGTAAAACTAAAGTGTAAACGTTTATCCTGACATTCAATCGTGAACCTCAACTACCACAATGTGCAAAAAAGAAAATGAATTTTTAACACTTTTTATCTCTTTGGATCCGATATATTACAGTCAAATAATGTGTTTTATGTTATTAAGTAAGCACTTTCACTTTTTGACTATTGCAATATAGACTGAGTTAATTTTTCTTCTTTTAAGACTGTTGAACAGAGTGTTATACTATATAGTTGAAAAATAGAAACGAAAACAAACTTAATAATTCAATTATTTGGGCATTGTAAGCACATACAAAATATCTGATATGTAGATAGAGTGGTATAATATACGTTGTGGTGCGTAACGTACATGGATATTTTTGGCATCAATCGCTATAGTGGGTGAGGGTACTGGATGTGTGGTGCAGGGTGTCGATCGATAATTATACTTATTTATGGTTTGTTAGAATACACGATAACATGTTTACGTCACCTTTTTTCAAATAATCAATTTGTTCACAAAAACAATATGAACATCATTTTCTCAAGATGCTTAACTTACGCGTAACGTTACGCCGGCAACGCTCTAGAACGGGCGCTAGTGTGACGACTGTCGCGTACCACCGTTAAAGTTTTCGGTTTTCGTTGCGCACCCCTCCGCCGAATATACATTTCAAGCGACGATATTACGATATTTTTACTTACGGACATCGTCATCGTTTTGACTTCTGCTGCTTGGAAACGTCGTATATGATATGTATACGCGCCGACGATGGTGATGGTGACGATTAACCGTTGACGTCTTCGAGTATACATCAATATGACAATATAATATATTATACGACCGTAGTCGTGTTAGCCATATGTATATAGTGTATACCGTCATGCCGATATAATTGTGTATAATATTATTATTATTTTGACACGCGTCGCCGCCGCACAGTATCGGGCAACGACGCCTGGTTTTTTTTTTTTGTTGTTACATTATAATATTAATTTCGTATCGCGTATATTGTGTTTTGTTTTTGTCGGCTTAGCTCCCATGTTTTCGTTGAAAACATCATTCTTCGAAAACCGTATCGGACACCAGTCTGGGCAGTGTGTGTGTGTGTGTGTGTGTGTGTGTAACACGGTAGTGCATGTAAATGATAATCTAACATCATTAACCATCGACCTTGCGTGGCGTACGTACTATGTAGGTATATATTATATTATTATGTAGAGAGGATGGCAGGCCGACCGATGAGTCAAGTGTGACAGCGAGCAATAGTATCGTGATTTTACGGCGGAGGGCGGACGGTAGAAAGGGTAGGTCGGAGAGGAAGGGGAGGAATACGTATATGTATGTATTAGACGGAGAGGAAAGAAAAATTGTACATATTATACGAGAAGTATCGAAAATACTCATCGATACGATATGGCTAATGTCACCCTGGAAATGGATATCTTTAGCCTGAGCCAAGGCCGACGATGATGGAGCTGTAAACATTTTATATTATTTTTCGTTTCCTTCAATATTATATCACATAGATAATAATAACAAAAATAATAGTTGTGTACTATATACATGTACTATTGAATATTGATCGTCAAACGACTAATTACATTTTTTTTCTGCTCGTTTTTAATTTTATTGCATGAACACAATAAGACGATAAATGATAACCGCATCGATTAATTAACATGTACAATTTATTTGATTGATTGCACATTAGTCGCATTGATCGAATCGACGACGAGCAATTTTGAATCGTGGATAACGTATACCTGTGCTATAATGTATAGGTAAGTGTACAACCCATCACTATGTGCAATGTATATATTATTATGTATAGTTGCAGCCACTTATTTAATCTGTGCATATTAAGATTTTCGTTTTGATTTTCAATTATTAAAGACGCGCAAAATCCGTATTTTCCTTTAGATTTTTAATACGAAATTATAAATGGTCATATAGGGGCCGTTATTTTTATTGCTGTTTCAGTGTTTCATATTATTATAATATAAGTCTTATCTGATGAATGGTCTATGGATTCAGATAACATAACATTATTTCTTACCAATATTGTATAAACAACACGAGATCAACGTGTAGACTGCTGTAACAACAAATTATCAACTAAGAAGATCAAATGTTTGTTCTTGATGTATTGCTAAGAATTTCGAATATTTCTATTCGTCACAATAATATTATAGTTAAATAACTTTGGACTTTACACTTTTCTTTTTGAAAGAAGCCTTCTAAATATGTTCAGAGTATAGTAAACAATCACGGTTACAAGCGTTTTTTTAATTGTGTGTGACATTTGAAATATCTGCAAAATAACCACATCGATGAAGAATAAACAAAATACCTGTAATATTATGTATGCTATATATTATATTATGCATTATATATATATTTATAATATACATAATATTATACTCTTTACACGATGTTTATAATATCATTGAAAACGTCGCTTATGGTTCATATTTATGATAATGATTCAACAAAAATTATTGACAGATTTATTTCACTTTGTTGGAACATTATTTAAAATTTGTTTTTATCAAAACGCTACATACATAGTTTGAAGTAGTTACGCCATATCTATAAATTTAACTAAATAAAATATGAGTGAGTTTATGATTATAATATATTTTATTTTATGAGAAAATCTATGGTATCAGAGGGGTTGAAAATACATATAAGCGAATGGAAAAATGTTGAGGCACGATGACAGCTCATCTTAATCTCTATTTTTCTTCACCCCAATCCCGATCATTGAACTGCAGTGTTTAGTTAAACAAAATATTGTTGGAGTGCCTATACACTACACATAATGTATGCATTATAGAATCATAGATTCTGAAATCCATATTAATATTATGTTATCACTATATCGTAAAGTTGGTCGTGTAGGTTCTTGATCTACGTTTCACTTATCACGAATTTGTTAGAGGTATGTAATTCCGTTGACCCCTTTGCGCACAACGTCCTAATGACGAGTCCTCGTTTGTATATGCGGTTATTATTATTATTATTATTATTATTATTATAGTAGGTCGTAGGTATTATCGGTAGTCGTTATACATAATATATATAAGTACCTAATACCTATACACGTATGCATATTGTACGTCGCGTGATCCAATTACGCTGGTTTTAGGAAAACGATATTACAATTAGACGACCGTGCCTGATGATGCAGTTTAATACTTCGATGAGCAACAGTGCCAACATTATAATATTATTCGTGTGGACATTTCGGAAAACTCGGATATTGATTTATTAATTGGTAATAAGTACGACATTCTGCAGCAGTTTATTCATACGCCCCTGCATATACCTATCATATTTATACATGTTTAAGGGGCACAGCTGTAGCAGAGCGATGTTTAGCCTTGTAGAAGACGTCCCCCCACTCACTACTCAGTCTTGGGATTTTCATCGTCTCGGAAAACAACGTGGGTATGAGTTTTGTGTCAAACATAGATTAATCGCGGTTGCCTGTGTGGCTGTGTGGTGCATAATATAAATGAGTGAGATGAACCGTCAAACCACACATGCTAAGACTGTATCATGTTATAATATTATGCGCCCTTTTAAACTATATAATATAATTATGACTCGCCGACGGATTTGGAATAGATAAGATTCGGTTTCCTATACAGTCAATACAACTGTTGGTCGATAGGCTCAAAGGCGTTCTGGGGAATTTTTTTTTATAGGTTTGGGAACTAGAAAATAATGTATACAAAATAATAATAACTATAAATAATAATATTTTTAATACATGCAATATTGTACGAAATATAATATTGCAATACTAATGTAACAGTGTTGGTATGTATTCAAGTCAAATATATTCTAGTCATTTTCAGTCCGAAAAGTATATAAAACCCAGTTTACAACCGTCGCATTGTATAATTTTATATAAATCCTACTGCAGGCTTTGTCGGCCCGCGTATATATTAATATAGCTCGGCAGTTCGATCCCGGGCTCACAGAATGGCCGTGTATATACGTATTATATATTTTTTATATATATTATATTTCATTCATATCCTCTTGCGATATCCTCTCAAATTCTCGGGCTCAAATCGTGTATATATGTATTTTTTTCTTATATATATATACTCGCGGGATAGTTGCAAATTTTCATAATTTAGACCCGTACACTCGCCGCACAATGCGTCGGCGGAAAATCCCTAGGACGCATCACAATGGGAAAACTACGGGACCGAATGCGCTCGCCGAGCATAAGGATTTGGCCTAAACGTAATCGCCGCCGCCGCACAATGGCCTAACCTCTATTGACGACGTGCTATGTATACATACGCCAACAATGACTGCCACTCGCGTACACACACTTACACACACTCACACAACAATGACGTCGTCATTCGCACACACGCCAGTACTACTGTATAATATTATATGATATGTATAAAAGGCTGTGCCGGCCGAGAGCCTTTTCTATATAATATAACCCAACTCCAAGAGTTGTTTTCCCTGTTTCCGTCGCCGCCGC